TTGAGGCAAGTGGATAACCTGAGGTTAGGAGTTCTGGACCAGCCTGGCCAACAAGGTGAAACCCAATTTCTACTTAAAATACAAAAATTAGCCAGGTGTGGTGGTGCATGACTGTAATCCCAGCTACTAGGGAGGCTGAGGCAGGAGAATTGCTTGAACCTGGAGGAGGTTGCAGTAAGCCAAGATTGTGCCATTACACTCTAGCCTGGGTGACAGAGCAAAACTCCATTCTCCTCCCCCTCAACAAAGCACTATGGTTCACCCTCAGCCTTGTTCTATCTCTCCCTGCCTCTGCAGTGTGTTCACAGCTCAGCCTGTGCTCAGGAAGGGAGGGGGAGAGTCCTGGGATGCCCAGGGTCAGTCCAGAGGTAGTTGAGACAGAACACAGCGCTGTTCTGGCTCAGCCTTCCTGCTCCCGCCCAGGGCAGCGCTGACCCTCAACCCAGGTGTGTCTGGAAGCAGAGGGGGAGCCTCCTCAGGAAAGCTTAGAGATGGGCGGCTTGTACCTCCACAGACTGAGACGCGGGTGCCCACTGTTACCCTCACACACCTGTCTCCACCTGCCTCCTCTCCCCACGTGCTGCAGGCTCTGTCACCAGCACCAAGCATGCACACAACCGGCACGTGAGCGCACGAGCACGAGTGTTCAGACCCAAGCCCTCACAGAGGCAGAGACCCCACCCGCGGAGGTGGACACGCACCTGCAGAGGGTCCCGGCCCCATGCACACCTGGAGATGCGCGCAGACATGCGCACTCGCACGGAGGCGCGCAGAGGATGGTACACAGCGATGTCCCCCAGGCGCAACTTTCACCCTACGACCTGTGGTGACACGCGCACAGCAATCCTGGGTGCAGGGTTCTGTAATGAGGACTCATGCCTGAGTCTCTACTCGCCTCTGACATCATGCGGCCCCTTTCTGAGTCCAAGATCCACCCCTAACATTCTGATTACCTACAGCCTTTATCCTGATCCCGTGCTTGCGTCACCTCCTCTAGGAAGGCAGCCTGGGGAACACACTTGCTTTTCTTTGTGCCCATGCGAGGGCTGCCCTGCTGTGGTTATCTGAAAAGCCCCTGGCTCCCTCACACAAGCAGTGAGCTCAGAAGAGGGCGGGGGGGGGGGGTGGAAGGCTGAGCTGTTACATCATCCCTGTCTTCAGGGGTGAGTTTCAAATGAATCTCAGGGGAGCCTGGTGCTGGATACAGGGCCCAGGACAAGAGAAGGGGCCTCGGGGAGCCTTTGGGGCCCTTCAGGCTTCCTCCAAATCAGTCCGCATTTATAGATGCCACCCCTCAAATTTTCCCTGGCTGCCCTGTGTGCCCAGGTCGGAACCCAGCTTTTAAAAAAACAAACAAAAACAATTGAACTTACGAAGCTAGAGAGTAGAAAGATGGTTAGCAGAGGCTGGGAAGGGTAGTGAGAGGGCGAGGGGTAAGAGAGGTTGTTTAATGGGTACAAAAAAATAGAATGAATAAGAACTAGTGTTTGATAGCACAACACAGTGGCCATAGTGAATAATAATTTAATTGGCATTTAAAAATAACCAAGACAGTATAATTGGATTGTTCGTAACACAAAGGATAAATGCTTGAGGGGATGGATACTCCATTTTACACGATGTGATTATTACACATTGCAGGCCTGTATCAAATATCTGATGTACCCCATAAATATACACGCCGACTATGTACCCACAAAAATTAACAAAAAAATTTAGGCCAGGCTTGGTAGCTGATGCCTATAATCCCAGAGCACTTTGAGAGGCCAAGCTTGGCAGATCAGGAGGTCAGGAGATCAAGACCATCCTGGCTAACACGGTGAAACCCCATCTCTACTAAAAATACAAAAAAAAAAAAAAAAATTAGCTGGGCGTGGTGGCACATGCCTGTAATCCCAGCTACTCAGGAGGCTAAGGCAGGAGAATCGCTTGAACCCAGGAGGCAGAGGTTGCAATGAGCTAAGATCATGCCACGGCACTCCAGCCTGGGTGGCAGATTCGGACTCCCTCTTAAAAAAAAAAAAAAAAAAAAGAAAAAATCCAAGTACCACAAACTAGGTGACTTAAATAAAACAATGTTAGAGGTGGTGGTGCACTCCTGTAATCGCAGCTACTCCTGAGGCAGGAAGATTCCTTGAGCCCAAGAGTTGGAGGCCAACCTGGGCAACATAAGGAGACCCTGTTACAAAATTAAAAATAAAAAAAATTAATGTATTTGTTGTGTTCTAAAGGCCAGAAGCTGAAAATCAAGGTGTTGGCTGGGTTTCTTCTCTCTGGAGACTTTGAGGGAGACTCTGCTTCCTACCTCTCTTCTGCCTCCCAGTGGCTACTGGCAACGTTTGGCAGGTGCTTGCCTTATAGATGTTATTACTCCAAAACTGCCTTTCCCTCCACGTGGCCTTCTTTTCTATGTCTCTGTGTGTCTTATCTCTCTTTCTTTCTTTCTTTCTTTCTTTCTTTCTTTCTTTCTTTCTTTCTTTCTTTCTTTCTTTCTTTCCTTTCTTTCTTCCTTTTTCTTCTTTTTCTTTCTTTTTTTCTTCTTTCTTTCTTTCTTTTCTATTTGTTTGAGACGGAGTCTTTCTCTGTCGCCGGCTGGAGTGCAATGGCATGATCTCTGCTCGCTGCAACCTCTGACTCCCAGATTCAAGCAATTCTCCTGCCTCAGCCTCCCAAGTAGCTGGGATTACAGGTGCTCGCCACTGCACCCAGCTAATTATTGTATTTTTAGTACAGACAGGGTTTCACCATGTTGGCCAGGCTGGTCTCAACCTCCTGACCACGTGATCCGTCCACCTTGGCCTCCCAAAGTGCTGGGATTACAGGCATGAGCCACCGTGCCCTGCCATCTTCTCTCTTTCTAATGAGGGCGCCTATCATTGAGTTTACAGTGGTCCCTAACCCAGGATGGTTTCATGTCAAGGTTGTAATTAATTGTATCTGCAAAGACTGTATGTCCAAATGATTTCACATTCTGAGGTTCTAAAAGGACATGAATTTCTGGAGGGACTTCATCAACCCACCCTGCTTTAGTTCTCACCCCTACAGTCCAAACCTTATTCAACAACAGAAGGATCCTGTTGAACAAACCAGATGACATCCCACATACCCCCGCTTAGAACCCACCATGGATCCCTAGTGCCCAGATGCCTCACTGAACCCTACAAGGCTCTATGCAGCTTCTGGTCCTTGTTGGCTTCTCTGCTATCCTCTCTCAACTCCCTCCCCCACTATTAACACCCTCTCTCCACTTTCAATCTCTGGGCTAAAATGAGACAGGAGCGTTTTCAGTATGTTGGCCTCTCTCTCATCCCATTTTCTTTAAAAAAATTTTTTTGAGACCAAGTATCTCTCTGTCATCCAGACTGGAGTACAGTGGCATGATCTCAGGTCCCTGCAATCTCTCCCTCCTGAGTTCAAGCGATTTTCCTGCTTCAACCTCCTGAGTAACTGGCACTATAGGCATGCACCACCATACCCAGCTAATTTTTTTTTTTTTTTGAGACGGAATTTTGCTCTTGTTACCCAGGCTGGAGTGCAATGGCGCGATCTCGGCTCACCGCAACCTCCGCCTCCTGGGTTCAGGCAATTCTCCTGCCTCAGCCTCCCGAGTAGCTGGGACTACAGGCACATGCCACCATGCCCAGATAATTTTTTGTCTTTTAGTAGAGACAGGGTTTCACCATGTTGACCACGATGGTCTCGATCTCTTGACCTCGTGATCCACCCGCCTCGGCCTCCCAAAGTGCTGGGATTATAGGCGTGAGCCACCGCGCCCAGCCACCCAGCTAATTTTTGTATTTTTAGTAGAGACAGGGATTCACCATGTTGGATAGGCTGGTCTCAAACTCTTGACCTCAGGTGTTCTGCCCACCTCAGCCTCCCAAAGTGCTGGGATTACAGGCATGAGCCACCGCATCCAGCCTATAACTTTCCCCCCCTCTTTTTTTTTTTTTTTTTGAGATAGAGTCTCTCTCTGTTGCCCAGGCTGGAATGCAGTGGCATGATCTCAGCTCACTGCGACCTCCACCTCCCAAGTTTAAGTGATTCTCCTGCCTCAGCCTCCTGAGTAGCTGAGACTACGGGCACATGCCACCATGCCAGACCTATTTTATTTTATTTTAGTAGAGTTAGGGTTTTCACCATGTTGCCCAGGCTGGTCTTGAACTCCTGACCTCAGGTGATCCACCCACCTCGACCTCCCAAAGTGCTGGGATTATAGGCTCAAGCCACCATGCCCGGCCTCTCACCTCATTTTCCTGTGCTTCCCTCACTTCTTTTCACTGCCATCTGCCTCAATCAAATGGTCTCAAGTCTCACATCATTTCTTCCAGGAAGCCTCCGGTGTCTCCACACCCTGGGCTGAGTCAGGTGCCTCTCTGGGTCTGAGCTTCCCCCACCACACATGTGGTCATTGCCTGGTTACTGTTCTGTGTCTCCTGCTAAACTGTAACATCCTGAGAGCAAGGATAGTATCTCATTGAGTCTGTGCTGTGTGTTCCTAACACCTAAAAATGTTCTTACATCTAGTAAATATTTAAAAAGTATATACTGAAGAAAATAAGGAATGAAGGGTGTGTATGATACTGTGATACTCTATAAGGCAGGTGAGAAAATGGGGAAGGTGACATTTGCACTGAGTTTGAAGGGTGAGGAAGGGTCCCCAGACACAGTGGCAGGGAGGGTATCCCAGGCAGAGGAGCCAGCTTGAGTGCCCACAATAGGGTGGAGGAGCTGGAGATGTCATACTGGGGCCAGACTGTAAAGAGGGTTGGAGGTATCTTAGAACCATTGCTCTGGGCCCAAGAGGAGAGTGGGCAGGAAGTAGAAGCCAGGAGGGAGCTGGGGCCTCGAGCTTGGCAGGGGCAGATGCCAGCCTGGACTGAGGGTCTGGCCAATGCTTTCCTCCAAGCTCAGCCTCCTGGGATAGCAGAAGATCCAGAATCTGGAGAAATTGGGCTGGACCTGCAGATATTTTCACCAGAGACATTTCTTTGGCACAGTTCAAACCAGGAAGGGACATCAGAGGAACAGATGTTCAGCTGAGAGATGGAGCCAGGACTAGAAGAAAGGTATTTTGTTGCTGCTTCTGTGCCCAGAGAAATGAGGACGCTGGTTCACAGGAAACAAGGTGAGTTGTGAGCCAGGGGATGGGGTAGGAGGACCAAGGTGGCAGTTCAGCTGCATCTTGCGGCCCTGCCTGGCGGGGGCGCTGTGACTCTGGACCAGCGGCTTGGCCTCTCTGGACCTCATTTTCCTCTTTGTAAAATGGGGCTGGATTATTCCAGGAAGAGAAACATTATGTGTGAGGATTCTAGCCCAGGGTAGGTGTCTGGTCAGGGTGAATGTCTCTCCTTCTTCCCCCATTTCATTTTTTTCTTGAACCTTAGAGGGTCTTCCTTCATTCATCCCACAAATAGGTGTTGAGCACCTACTACTTGCCCAGCAGTGTGTGGCAAATAAGCAGGAGTTGCTTTGAGCCTCAGTCTTGTGACTTTGCTCAGCTTTTCTCCCAGGCAGGACCCTTGCATTTCTGGGTTTTTCCACTGAGCCTTACCCAGAAATGACCAAAAAAACACAAGTTCCAGAAGATGCATTCCCCAAATGTGCATCAGCCCTTCCTGTGCACCACATCCTGTGCTCACAGCTGCAAGGAAGCGTGGCTCAGACCCATTCCTCCGTCAAAAAACATCTCTACAAAAAATACCAAAATTAGCTGGGAGTGGCGATGGGTGCCTGTAATCCCAGCTACTCAGGAGGCTGAGTTGAATCTAGGAGGTAGAGGTTGCAGTGAACTGGGATCAAGTCACTGCACCTCATCCTGGGTGGCAGAGTGAGACTCCATCTCAGAAAGAGAAAGAAAGAAAGACAGGAAGAAAGAGAAAGAGAAAGAAAGAGAGGAAGGAAGGAAGGAAAAGAGGAAGAGAAAAAGAAACATCTTCTCCATCTACTTCCCTTCACTGCATTCTGCCCTTGAATTGGGGACTGTGAGACAAATTCCTCTGTTTCTTCCATCTGATCACAAATACATGAAATCTGGCAGACACTCACTTTTTAATTGGCAAAATTTGTGTGTATTTATGCTGTACCACACGATGTTTGGAAATCTGCATATACTGTGGAATGGTTCATCCAAGCCAGTTAACATGTGCATGATCCCACACACGTATTACTCCTTTCTGTGATGGGAACACTCAAAATCCACTCTCAATAATTTTCAAATATACAATAAATTGTTATTGATCATAGTCACTCATGCACAATACATCATATGGTCTTTCTGTCTCACTGAAATTTTGTGTTCTTTGACCAACATCAAAAAGATGAAACATGTTGGCAAGAATGTGAAGAAAAGGGAACTCTTGTGAACTGCGGGTGGGGATGCAGATGAGTGCAGTCCTTACAGAAAAGAGTATTCCTCAGTAAATTTAAAATAGAATAATCATGTAATCCAGCAACCCCACTTCTGAGTGTAGCATACACCAAAAGGTAATGAAATCAGTATGTTCAAGAGATTTCTTAACTCCCATGTTCATTGCAAAACTATTCACAAAAACCAAGAGATGGAATCAACCTAAGTGTCCATCAACGGATAAATGGATGAGGGAATGTGATATAAACACACAATGGAACACTATTCAGCCTTGAAAAATAAGGAAATCCTGTCATTCATCACAACACGGATAAATCTGGAAGACATTGTGTTAAGTGAAACAAGCCAGGCAGGTTCTCGTTTGTATTAATGGTAATTTATTCTAGATGTTTTCCCTTTTTGGATTTTGTTTTTAACCTCAATGAGTTTCAGAGAAGAGAAAGGGGCTGTAACAAGGAGTCTGCCGCATTTTCATTGCACTTATCTTGTGGTATCTGAATGACTAATGCACGGGTTTGTCTCCCTTCCTTGTTGAGAAGCTCTTAGAGGTGGAATCCAGGTCGCAGTCACATTTCTAGCACATGTTAGATGTGTCATAAATATTCATAGGATAACATTTCCGTTAAAGATTGGAAGGCTGAGTTGTTTTGAAGGGCTCTTCAATGCCTTGGTCAACTTCTTCCTCAAGAGGTCTCCTCCATCTGAGATAAGAACTGCCTGACAATAAATATTCATAGAAACAGGAAGCCTCATGCTTGATCTGCTGTATGGTAACAGGAAGAAATAGGAAGAGCCACACTGGCTGCTTAAGTTGATGAAAGTGACCAGCCTCAACCCCCAAAGACTGCATGAGATAACGCTTATCTTCAGCTCGAAGGAAGTTAGACCTCAGCAGTCACGCATTTAACCGATGTATCCAGAGCACTGGAGCTCATTACTGAGCAGGGGGAGACTGCAATGGCCAGTACAGACCTAATCGAGCCGGGAGAGACTGCAATGGCCAGTACAGACCTAATCCTGCTTTTGTGAACTTTACAATGAAGGAGAGAAGGTGAATGATGAATAACTGAATTTCAGACAAGAGCAGGAGGAGCATAAGGAGGGAATGGCAGTGGCTACAGGAATAGACAAACGAATCCTCAGAAAGGGCAGGCTGATGGGGGAGGACTTCATGGAGAAGGTAGCACTTCAGCTGAGTCATTCTGCAGAGGGTGAAAGGTTGTGCACCAAGCACAGGGAAGGACATATGCAAAGGACCTGGGATGGGAAGATGATTATTCATCCAAGGAACAGAAGGAGGCCAATATGACAGGGGCGTTGGGTAGCCAGGAGTGAGGAGTGGCTCAAGGAGCCTAAAAGACAGGCAGAGGTTTGCATCCAAATGACCTTCCCCCATAATCCATTAGACACGAGATGACACTTATCTACACGGGATGCATGCATAAGGGCAGGTGGGTTCAAATGATGTCAATCACATCTACAAAATGAATTTCAGATCAACTAGGGAATAGCCAACCACATTTTAGAAGGGTTTTGCAACTCACAGACGTGGAATGGGGTTGCGACGAGAGAGTCATTTGTTTGTTTTCTCTGTATTTATTGATCATATATTAGGTGCCAGGCAGTGAGAACACAAGGTTGAGCAAATCCAGTGTGGTCTTTCCCCCTTGTGGGGAACATTGAGTAGAGAAAGAGAGTAAGTATTGAACAAGTAATTTATATAATAAGGAGAGTGTAGTATTAGGATGGAGGAAGCAGAAGCCTAACCCACCTTAGTGTTTGGTAGAAAGTCCCGCCATCTTTCCCCCAGGTTTCTTGCCCCCACCCTCCCCCCAGGCTTCCTGCTGCCCTGAGAAAAGCCCGCCAAGCCTGCTCTGTTCTGCCCAGCAACAACAAGCAGCCAATCATCTCAGCAGGAAAGCCCGCCAAGCCTCGGCCTATCCTGAACCGACACGTAACCCTCTGAGCCACCTCAGCAGTCTGCCCAGAGACGGACAGCCTATCCTAAGCTCCCACGACACTCCGCCAGCCCTGTGTCCACGCCCCGTCCACCCCCCTATAAAACCCTCCTACCCCAGCTGCGCAGTCGCAGCCAGCCCCCGATCTCCTTCCTTTCCTGGCCTGCCCGCTGGTCCCAATAAACCTGAACTCGGCTTCCAACTCTAGAGCTGTTATTTGGGGTCGGGTACCGGGCAGGGGTCTACAAGGGGGTCGCACACTTAGATCTCTGGAGACCTTCCCTCCATCTCCTTCAGCAGCATGAAATGTTCACAGGAGCCACGCTTGGCACCAAGTGCTTTCCATACTTTGGTTCTGATGGCCAAGATGCTGTGGTGCTTTCTGTAACATTGGCTATGTGGAGCTCTGGGACTGGTGTTTTGGGGAAGAAAGAGCCACTTCCAATGCCTGCCTATGTCTCTGATGCTAATCAGACACCTGCCTGAGGCTAAGTGGAAAACTCTCTGGGACCATTCTCCCAAAGTGAGATTAGCCTGTGTTTCTGTCTCCACCTAATCCCTGAGGTATGCCTTCAAACCTCATCTGCCTGCAGCTCTGTAGCTGATCCTTAGAGACCCTTTCATTTGCAAAAATTAAGTGAAGATGAAAATTGTATGCCAACTTTTAATGAGCCCCTGGGTGTTAGTGAAAATCCCATGGCTTGTTCACTAACAAAACTTAGAATTGGCTTCTTGGGGATTGTTATGCAGTGGAGCTTGGTGAGTTATGCAGACAGGTGTCCCACTGGGGTCTTTAATACCAATCAAGGCTCTAAACATGTTCTTCTCTGATCTGTCCTCCAGCAAAGATACTAGGGGGCTTCGAGCGATGGGCACTGAGAGCTTTAGAGCAGGGCTGGAGGTGGCAGGTTCAGATAAATTTTATTAATTGCCTGGTTTGGAGATCCCATGACATCACTTCAATCGAATGCTCCAGGGGCTTGTTTTCTTCTTTAAACAGAGACCAGCTGATCACCACTGCGAATTGTTTGTTTCTCTTCAGTTTCTTAAACACAGATTAATGATCATGCAGAGGCTTGTAGTGTAGACGGGATAGCTCCTTGCTTCCCAGCACTGACTCATATCAGACAGACTCAGGTTCAAATCCTGGCTCATCCACTTCCTGGCTGTGTAGCCTTGGTAAAGTGAATTGATCTCTCTGTGCCTCCATCTGCCGATTGGGAGGCTAATATTAATAGCACCTGCTTTCATTCCAGTACACAACTCTGGACTGCGCTGTCAGACCATGAGTGCATCACCCCACACACGAGCAATCTTCCAGGGGCGGGGGCTTGATCTGACTCACCTTTGAGTCCATATTGCCTGGAACTTGAGTAGACACTCAGCAGGACTCCGTATATGTCAGTGGACTTTAGTTGATTGACCTAACCATTTATACTGGGTGGAGGCAAACTCCTCACCCTTTTATCAATACCCTTTAATAATATTCTTAATTATCACTTATCCCTCGCTCTGCTAGGTACTACATTGCCCCCTTATTTCTTCACTGAGCCTTGTCTCCAGAGCTCCGACATCAGGCCCACTATCTCCCAACTCAGAACACCAGAAGCACCCCCAGTGAGCTCAGCTGCACTGTGGTGGCTAACTCTAGGGGTTTTAAGCGTGGAGTGACCAAGACCATCTCAGAGATAGGAGAGGGCCATGCAGCTAGCGTCTGGGTTGGGGTCCAGCTCTGTGGGCCTGTGTGATGGTTAATACTGAGTGTCAACTTGATTGGATTGAAGGATGCAGAGTATCGATCCTGGTTGTATCTGTGAGGGTGTTGCCAAAGGAGATGAACATTTGAGTCAGTGGACAGGGAGAGAATGGGCCCACCCTTAAACCAGGCGGGCACCAACTAATCAGCTGTCAGAGTGGCTGGAATAAAATGCAGGCAGAAGAATGTGGAGAGATTAGACTGGCCTAGCCTCCCAGCAGACATCTTTTTCCCATGCTGGATGCTTCCTGCCCTCGAACATCAGACGTCATGTTCTTCAGCTTTGGGACTTGGACTGACTTTCTTGCTCGTTGGCTTGCAGACAGCCTATTGTGGGACCTTATGATTGTATGAATTAATGCCCCTTAATAAACTCCCCTTTATATGTACACATATCCTGTTAGTTCTGTCCCTCTACAGAACCCTGGCTAATATAACCTGTCAGCTGTTCTGGTAACAAGATTCGCTTCTTTCATTTCTAGAAGTTCTCCTCACCTCCCTTCATCCTCTTTCACCATTCCCTCACTTCCCACCCCAAGCCCACACTACATTCTACACACACCTGACGTCCTTTCTCCTAGAGGTGACCGTGTGCCACCTCTTGGGACTATCCATGTCATCTCATTGGCTGCCTACCGTAGCCTCAGAGGTGGGATATTGTGAATATGGTACAACTGAGGTTTGGTGAGATTAAGGCTCTCACCCAGAGGTTTGCATCTTGGAAGATGCAGAGCCAAGACTTGAACCAGCTCTGCCTGACCCCAGAGCCTGGGTTCTTACCACCAGGCCACCCTGCCCCCAGCAGCCCCTGGTATTCTCAGCATGTTCACAGTGAGCTGTTTGTTAGGGGGCACTCATCATTGAATCTTGCTCCAACTTCAGCTGATAAAGCACATCCTCCAAGGCTGGGGATAAAGAGAGGGAAATGATTCCGTCTGCATCATATCCCTTCTCCACAGCAATCAGGCTACCCCAACCCTCTGGCCATGCCTCCTTTTTCATCTCTGCCCCAGATATGTGGGATCCTCATTCATGACGTGGGAACTGGGGTTCTTGGGTCACTTCAATCACTCCAGATGCTACAAGGTCAGTGACTTACTCAGTACAAAGCAACCTCCAAGGATTAAATGTTATTTCCCATTGTTCTGGGGAGAAATTAATTCAAGGGAGGTCCCAGGGCAGAGAATTCCCCACCACCACCGCCACCACCACCACCATGGGCATACCATCCCTGCAGTTTTCTGATTTACTCTTTGGCCCATGAAGCATGAAATTTCTTATGCCAGGTTTCCTTCTAATAAGGGAGAAGAGATAAATATCTGTACCTTTCCTCTCCTCCTCCCTGGTCTCTGTGTTCCAGTTAAACTATAATTTTGTCTGACACACCTAGCTGAGCCTTCTGCACAGAGATAAATGGGAGTGGACGCTAACCGGGTGAGAGGAGAAACGCCATAAGCCCACACTCCAGTCTATGAGGTGGATTAGAGGTCTACCTTGCCCAGCTCTTGCCTCACCTGCTTCCGTGGTCTGAGTAAAAGTTTGGGACCCAGGACTCTGAGGCTGTGCGAAGCCTTCCAGTCCCACATCTGCAGCACAGTCTGCAGCTCACTCTGCTCTGAGCTGTGCCGACTTTGCACGGATATTCTCCATTCCTCAAAAGGAAACTGCATCCTTCAAAGCTCACACATTCCTCTTCCTGGCTCAGCACAGGGAGCAAGTTCTCTAGATAGCTTATTATGAAATAAAAAAGTGGAGAAGGGAACCCAGGCAGCTGGGCACAAAAGGGAATGGGCAACAAGCTTCCTCTCTGAGCATGACTTTCTGTGTAAGGTCTTGGACACTCCCTGGATGGCTCCCAGCCATCTGCCTTGTTCCAGGTGTCCAGTTAACTTAGAATAAAAAAAAAAATCTCATGTCCTCCTTCTAGATGTAACTGTGGTAATTATGATTCTGCATTTCTGTGGTATCATTTGTCATGTCTCCTTTTCCAATTCTGATTTTATTTATTTCTTTTTTTTTTTCTTACTTGGTCTAGCTAAACGTTTGTTGATTTTTTTTTTTTTTTTTTTTTTGGGACGGAGCTTCGCTCTTGTTACCCAGGCTGGAGTACAATGGCGCGATCTCGACTCACAGCAACCTCCGCCTCCTGGGTTCAGGCAATTCTCCTGCCTCAGCCTCCCAAGTAGCTAGGATTACAGGAATGCGCCACCATGCCCAGCTAATTTTTTTTGTATTTTTAGTAGAGACGGGGTTTCACCATGTTGACCAGGATGGTCTCGATCTCTTGACCTTGTGATCCACCCACCTTGGCCTCCCAAAGTGCTGGGATTACAGGCGTGAGCCACCGCGCCCGGCCACGTTTGTCGATCTTGTTTAAGTTTATTACAAGCCCAACTCTTTTTTTTATTGATCTTTTGTATTTTATTTTTACTTTCAATTTCATTTATTTTTTCTCTAACCTTTATTATTTAATTTTTTCTATTAATTTGAGTTTCACTTGCTTTTGCTTTTCTAGTCCCTTGAGGTGCATCATTAGATTATTTATTTGAAATCATTCTACTTTTTTGATGTAGGTGTTTATTGCTATAAACTCCCTCCTTAATACTGCTTTTGCTGTATTCCATAGCTTTAAATATATTGCATTTAAACTTCCATTTGATTCAAGAAATTTTAAATGCCCTTCCTAATTTTTATTAATCCATTAGTTGTTCAGGAGCATGTTGTTAAGTTTCATGTATTTGTACCGTTTTGAACATTATTTTTGTTATTGATTTCAGTCTTTATTTCCTTGCCATCAGAAATTATACTTGATGTGATTTCAGTACTTTCAAATTTGTTGAGATTTGCTTTGTAGCCCAATGTTGTAGCCCAAAATCCAGGAGATTTTTCCATGTGCTAATGAAAAAAATGTGTAGTCTGCAGCTGTTGCATGAACTATTCTGCCAATGTCTGTTAAGTCTGTTTGGTCTAAAGTGAAATTTAAATACAATGTACCTTTGTTGACTTTCTGTCTAGTTGACCTGTCCAGTGTTGAGAGTGGGTTATTGAAGTCCACAACTACTATTGTATGGGAGTCTATCTCTCCTTTCAGATCTAATAAGATTTGTTTTCTAGAGCCGGGTGCGGTGGCTCAAGCCTGTAATCGCAGCACTTTGGGAGGCCGAGATGGGTGGATCACGAGGTCAAGAGATCGAGACCATCCTGGTCTACATGGTGGTCTCTACTAAAAATACAAAAAATTAGCTGGGCATGGTGGCACGTGCCTGTAATCCCAGCTACTCAGGAGGCTGAGGCAGGAGAATTGCCTGAACCCAGGAGGCAGAGGTTGTGGTGAGCCGAGATCACGCCATTGCACTCCAGCCTGGGTAACAAGAGAGAAACTCTGTCTCAAAAAAAAAAAAAAAAAAAGATTTGTTTTCTAAATCTAAGTGCATGTGTATTTCCTATTGTTAAATGCTCTTGCTGAAATTATCCCATGTCTGTGTTATTTTTATCTGATATAAGCTACTCCTATTTACTTTTGGTTTCCACTTGGGTAGAATGCCTTCTTCCATCAATTCACTTTAAGTCTGTATGTTTCTTGACAGGTAAAGTGAGTTTCTTGTAGGAAGCACATAGTTGGGTCACTTAAAAAACCCATTCAGCCAGTCTCTACATTCTAAGTGAAGGAATTAATCTATTTATATTCAAAGTTATTATGCAAAAGAACATGCTTCTGTCATTTTATTAATTGTTTTCTAGTTGTTTTGTATATCTTTTATTCCTTTCTTCCTCTCTTACTGTTTATGATTGTGGTTTGGTGGTTTTCTATAGTAATAAGATTTGATTCTTTTCTCTTCTCATAAGTGTATCTGCTTTGCCAGTGGATTTTATACTTTTGCATGTTTTCATGATGATAATCATCCTCTTTTTCACTTCCAGATGCAGGACTCCCTTCAGCATGTCTTGTAAGACAAAAAACTCAATATTGTCAGGATGTCAGTTCTTCCCAACTAAACCTATTGATTCAATGAAATCACAATGACAATATCAGAAAGTTTTTTATGGATATCAGCAATCTAATTCTAAAATGTATATAGAGAGACAAGTGACTCAGAATAACCAACACAACGTTTGAAGGAGCAGAACAGAGTTGGAGGACTGACAGTATCCAACTTCAAGACTTACTGTGAAGCTACAGTAACCAAGGTGTAGTTCTACTGGTGAAAGAAAAGACAAGTAAGTCAACGGGACAGAATTAAAAGCCCCCAAAATAGATCCACATAATATAGGCAACTTATCTATGATAAAGATGCAAAGGCAATACAGCGGCCCCAAATGAGAAAATATAATATATTTGGAGATCAGAATCAAGGCCAGAGTAACTGAGTGTAGCAAGAGAAGGAGATTAGCTAGAGAAGAGATTAGAGAAGTCAACAGGGTTCATGATGTAACATCCCTTAGACTATGGAAAGAGATCAATGTTTGCAGCAGGGTATTATTCTGAGACACTAACTGAGGTTTCTCTCATTCTCCTACCACCCACATAGTCAGGTGCCTTCACCACCCTCAGAAAAAAAAAGTACCTCTTATATACACAGCCCTTTAGGGAGAAGAGATTGTTCACAGAGCACAATATTAGAATGTTTGCCTTTGAGTTCCACCACAAAGCCTTTAAAGTCATGGTAGACATAACAATCTTGAAAGACATTCTTTACAGCCAGACTTTCTGAGAGAGGAAGTAATACTGGCCCCATATATTTATCATTCATTGTGTGCCAGGCACAGTTCTGAGTCCTTTATATTGAGACCTCAGGAAACCCAGATGTAGGCAATACTGTTGTCCCCATGATATGGTTGAGGGAACCGAGTCACAAAGAGAGGAATTAACCTGCTCAAATCACGCAGCAGGGCCAGGACTTGGGTCCAAGCAGCCTGGGTTGAAATCCTATGCCTCTGAAGGCACGGGAAGAGAGTCACAGAGGGAACCAACTGGGAGGGGGAGAAACGGGTGGGAAGTTGGTGGAAAAAGGAACAAAAAATTTCTGAGAGTTGGCCAGGGTGGAAGCTACACCCCATTCCCTTTGTTCTGAGCTGGGGACTTCAGTCTTGGGGGGACATTCCCAGGACAGATGTAAGCATCTGCCCCTGTGGTTGCTTCTCACTAAATAAGAGTCTCAGTCTTGCTTCTTAAATCCATTCGTAATCCTGTTCCCTCTCCTGCTCAAACACCTCCCAGGGCTCTTTACTGTCCACAGGAGAAAGTTTTTACTTGGGCTCTGGGAGAATTCATTAAGGGCCCTGTGCTCACCAGAAAGGCAGTCAGGGTTTTGGGTTCAGTGCCATCACCCTGCCCCCACCCACTCACCCCTCTTTCTTGGATCCCACCAGTCCCCAGGAGCCCTGTGCTGGCTGTCAATGAAGCTCAAGCAGAGGTGTCAGCATAGATTTATTCCTGGGAATCTACAAAGGTGGGTGGGTTGATCCGACAGTCACTGTGGGTTTGCACCCAGGGACTCCAGCCTCAGCCAGAGTCCACCCTCTGCGCGCATGATCACCTCCGGCTTCCTGCGGGGCTCAGTGCAGTCTGGCAGGACAAGGAAGCGCAGCAGTGTGAGTGCCAGGACCACCTTCATCTCAGCCATGGCGAACACCTGCCCAATGCAGTTTCTGGGGACGAAAGTGAGGGAATCTGACTATGCCCATGACCCCCCATCTTGGCCCCATCATGCTTAGAACCTGGCCTGGGAACCCGACTTGCACCCCGATCAGCTCAAGGGGCAGAGAGAGGAGCTGCATGTCCCGAGGACACCCATGTGTGCTTGCATAGCCCCCAAATCTGGCCCAGGCTCCTACCCCCAGTTCAGATCAGCACACGGAGGAGGGGGCTCTGAGCACACCACAGACCCCTCTAGGACCTGCCCCACCCCACTCTGTGGACCGTTGCCCATAAACTCCTGAGGAAGGGAGGGAAGGAGAGCTGGATATGTGACCACCTGCAACTTCCCCCTTTTTTGACGCCCGCACCCGTCACCTCATCCCTGCCTCAGACACAGGCAGCCCTTACCTGGGCCCTGCCGAGAAGGGGATAAAAGCCAGAGGTGACCTCTCCTTGCTCTTCTCTGGGTCAAAGCGAAAGGGGTCATAGACCTAGAGGTGAGACCAAGAAGGCTTGCTGGGTGGGGTCTCCCAAGACCGCCAGCCTTGGAGAGACATTTTGGCAGATGTGTGTCCATTGAGGGGAGGTGATGTTGGATTTCCCTAGTCAAAACCCTGTCAGCTCCTCTAGGAACCTTGGAATGGATCCCAAAAAGGGTGGGGTGAGGGAGGCAGTACCTCGGGGTCTGGCCACACAGTTGGATTGTAATGGATCCCAATAATACTGATGAGGCAGGCAACGCCTGTGTGAGAGATGGGGGCAGTCAGGACAAGGCCCCCTGCCTGAGGGACCCCTCTTCCTACCCAGGAGGCTCCTCTCACTGAGGCTGTGAGCACCTTTGGGGATGACTCGGCCGTCTGGAAGCACCATGTCCTGGGTGCAGCGTCGGGTGATGGCTGGGACTGGGGGATGCAACCGCAGGCTCTCCTTAATGCACATGGTCAGGAAGGGCAACTTTGCCAAGTCGTCCCTAAGGAAACACCCAGCCCCAATCATTATCCAGGGAACAAACAAGATTCTCCAGCTTCTCTGTTTCCAAGGAAGACTTTTTCTCCCTATCACAAAATAAATTCCACATGGATGAAATATTGAAGAATTTAAAAAGTAGAAAAAATTAGAAAGCAGAGAATTAGAAAAGTACCTGAAAAAAAAAATGTAGCCAATTTTTAAAAGATGATTCTGAGGAAAACATAACACTCTGAAGCAGCTATAGGAAAAGTTAACATATTTGCATCAAAGTAAATGTTCTTTTTGGCAAGAAAGCAAACACAAAATGCAAGTGAATAAGAACCAAAATGCCCAGATCCAGTGTTTGCTCGTATTCATCGTTGTACTAGAGATACTAGCAAATGCAACTAGGCAAGGCTGAAAAAAGAGGAATTTGAAATGTGGATGTAAATGTATCATTCTGGCAGATGGTGATTTTATACTTAGAAAAACAGTACACTTCACTGAAAAACACTTATAAACATTTAAGATCTGGTAAGGGAGCTGAATTCTTTGTGTAATCTTTCTTTGCTTTCCCTGGTGCATTGTACATTTAAGTGGTTCAAAATCTGAAAACTATAAACATCCTCCCCACTATGGCCCAATCACCGGCTTCTTCTCCTCACAGGTTGCCTAAGTTATTATTATTATTATTATTATTAATTTATTTTTTGAGACGGAGTTTCACTTGTTATCACTCGTTACCCAGGCTGGAGTGCAATGGCGTGATCTCAGCTCACTGCAACCTCCGCCTCCTGGGTTCAGGCAATTCTCCTGCCTCAGCCTCCTGAGTAGCTGGGATACAGGCACATGCCACCATGCCCAGCCAATTTTTTTGTATTTTTAGTAGAGACGGGGTTTCACCATGTTAACCAGGATGGTCTCGTCTCAATCTCTTGATCTCGTGATCCACCCGCCTCGACCTCCCAAAGTGCTGGGATTACAGGCGTGAGCCACTGTGCCTGGCCTATGTATCTTTCTAGAGCTAATTTTTAGCACCATAAAAAATATGAGTACATCAATTACTATACACATATTCCATATCATTTCTCATTTAACAATATGTCAATCTTTTCTTGTAAAGCTCCCGGGACTTGTATCAAAATACAGTTATCCATACTCTGGATCTAGAAAATAATTTTCCTATGGTTTCCTCTAGAGCTTTCAACACCCCTTTAAAAAAACTGTATGCTTGAGTAATCTGAACATTGTCTTATTGTAAGACATGACAACCAGGTTGAGTTGATTTTTATTCCAGAAAATTTCCCAGTTGTCTCAAAAGCTTTTACCTAATGATCTATATTTTTTCTCTTGATACAAAACACCATCTTATCACATGCTATCTTCATTGGGCACTAAATTTACATGCTTCAATTATTAATTTTTGCATGTAAAAATAAGCAGCTGGAAAAGATAATAAAAGATATTAATAATAATATATCTGAATTAAATTTAACAAGAGACATAAAGTCTCAGTATTTCAAATGAATGTATACATTTCCCTCAGTCTGAATAAAAGATACACTTCACCATAGCAACAAGATATGAAAAGATTGATTTAACAAAACACTTATATGTTGACTAAGCAAATATTTTAAGCTTTATTAAAAGCTTAAACATTATCTGAATGGATTGATAACCATTTCACTATGACAAACTATGTGTCAGTATGATGATGCTACTTGTTTTTCACATATGAATCATGTATTCAAGTCAAACGAGAAAATATTCAGTGCAAACGATTATCTATTTTTAGGAACTTGATGAACTTGCTCTAAATGTTTTTGGGAAAAAAATTATGAAGAGCTAGGTCAATCTGAAAATAAAATATTAGAGAAGAGGAGGTCAGCTTAGGCAAGGAACGCATGACTACGATCTCAAAAGCAAATGCAAAAATAAATAAATAAATAGGTGCTAATTAAAGTCAAAAGCTTCTGTATAACAAAATAAATAATCAGCAGAGTAAACAGACAACCCACACAGTGGAAGAAAATATTTGCAAATTATGCATCTGACAAAGGACTAGTATTAAGAATCTAAAAGGACATCAAAAAAATCAGCAAGTAAAATAAATAAATAAATAAACAACCTGGCTGGGCATGGTGGCTCACGCCTCTAATCCCAGCACTTTGGGAGGCCAAAGCAGGCAGATCACCAGCGGTCAGGAGTTTGAGACCAGCCTGACCAACATGGATAAACCCTGTCTCTACTAAAGATACAAAATTAGCTGGATGTGGTGGCACAGACCTGTAATCCCAGCTACTCAGGAGGCTGAGGCAGGAGAATCGCTTGAGCCCAGGAGGCGGAGTTTGCTATGAACCGAGATACCACCATTGCACTCCAGCCTGGGTAACAAGAGCAAAACTCCATCTCAAAAAATAAATAAATAACCCATCAAAATGTAGGCAACAGACATGAATAGACATTTCTCAAAAGAAGATGTACAAACAGCAAACAAACACATTTTGAAACACTCATCACTAATCAGCAGGGAAATACAAATCAAAACCACAATGAGATACCACCCTACTTCTGCAAGAATAACCATAATTAAAAAGTCAAAAAACAATAGATATTGGATGTGGTGAAAAGAGAACACTTTTACACTGCTGGTAGGAATGCAAATTAGTATGACCTCTGGAAAGCAGTAAGGAGACTCCTTAGAGAACTAAAAACAGATCTACCATTCCATCCAGCAATCTCACTACTAGGTATCCACCCAAAGGAAAAGAAGTCAGCGTATGAAAAAGACAGATGCATACACACGCTTATAGCAGCACAATTCACAACTGCAAAGATACAGAACCAGTCTAAGTACCCACTGACAAGTGAGTGGATGAAGAAAACGTAGCATATACACACCGTGGAATACTACTCAGCCATGAAAAAGAATGAAACAATGTCTTTTGCAACAACTTGGATGGAGCTGGAGACCATTATTCTAAGTGAAGTAACTCAGGAATGGAAAACCAAGTATCATAGAGTCCCACTTTCTGTACCCCAGCCATGCTTCTCTTGCTCTCAGCCTCATTCCCGCCCATGTGGGCTGGGAGTTTCCTCTCCTGGTACTGTTCCCCGACCAGGCTGGGAGCACCTGGAAAACAGATCTCAGGGCTGGATCCTTCCAGGGTCTCCAGAGCACTGAAAGGTGCTGGAAACAAAACGGGGTGGGAATGCAGTGAGGGAGCATTTGCTAATGAAGACTGGGTGGATGAACGGTGCAGGTGTTCTGGACGGGAATGAATGACTTTTGCCCTCAGGTCTCCCTTAGAAATCCCTGGACTGAACAACTGGATTGAAATTAGGGTACAGAAAAGCAAACATTCAGGAAGTGAAGATGTTTGAAAAAAATGGTAATTCAATGAAAAGAGGAGGTGGAGGAGAAATTCATTTGCTGAACACAGGCTAAGTGGCATAATCTGACCTCGCATACTGTCACCAATTCTCCCAAGAGCCCAGGTCTTTCTGTCCCAAAAGCCTGTAAACCATCCTCTGCTGGCCAGGCTGGGTATTCAGCCCTGCCTCTTGGATTTGCACCTACTCCCAGTAAGTGATAATGGAAGAAATGACAAAAAAAGAAGGAAAGAAAGAAAGAAAGAAAGAAAGAAAGAAAGAAAGAAAGAAAGAAAGAAAGAAAGAAAGAAAGAAAGAAAGAAAGAAAGAAAGAAAAGAAAGAAAGACCTCTTCCACCGTTCCTCACCAGAGGAGCAGAACCAATGAGAAAAGATCAGGAGCAGGCCAGCACCTGCACTCACCATTCAATCTCTATAGGCTCACGATCCTTCAGAAGCTCTTGGACTTCTTGCCGGCAGCATTCCTGGTATTCTGGGTGCTTTGAAAGGTGGTATAAGACCCAGGAGAGACCACTGGCAGTGGTGTCATGGCCTGAGGGGCAGCCAAGCAAAACTAGGTTTCCGGGCTGCTTCAGCACCAGAGGGCGGACAGCTCCCATACTTCCAGACCCTCTGGGAGAAGGTAGGGAGGGGGAGGACAGGGAGAATGGAGTGATCTAGGGTCCACCCACCACGTCCCAGGGACGGAGAGTCCCCTGTCCCCACTGCAATCCCACACTGAGACCCTCACCCCCAAACATGAAGGTGTCAGCTTCTGCTCTTATGTCCTCATCAGACAACTCCCTCCCATCTTCATTCTGGAGAGAAGGCAAGACAATACCCACGTCCCAAATCACACCAGTTCTGAGGGCTCTTGAGTCAAACCTAAAACAATTTCTGAAGATCCATCCTCCTTCCAGAAACCCAAGCCCATCATACACTCCTGGAAGTCTCTTGGACACCACCATCAGAGTCCACCACACGCAGACAACCCCCTGGCTTCTTTGCCTCCTATTTGGCACTGCTGGGAAGAGTCAATGACCTATGGATATTTTCCTGTTTCTGGATAATAAGGACTTTTAGAGCTAAGCATTACTGCAACCTGGGTTACAGCATATTTCGATGGCAATTTGGCTTGGAGGTTAGAAATCAAGTATTGCTCTAAAGATAGCTGCTCACATTCTAGAGTGGTAAACTCGGGGAATCTTTCTTATCTTTCCAGAAGGCATCTGGGTTACAAACCTATAAACCTAGCAGCATGACCATCTCCCTGGAGAGGAGTAGTTTTTACCCCAGAACAAAGCAAACATCTCTCTCTTTCTTTCCTCTCCCTCTCTGTCTCTCATTCTGTCTCGCCCTGGAAGGAAGAAGGGGCAGATGTGCTAGCTGTCCTATACAAGCTCCAAGATGTAATAATGCGGGGCCCCTCTCTGCTTTGCATTCTGGTGTATTTACAGGTAAATCATTGTGTTCCCCTAGGAGGAATTTGGGAATGGAGAGCCAGCTCTACAATCCTACTCTGGTTGCTGCTACTGTTGTGAATGATTCATGGGCTGCTGTAACCCAGGGGTTTGGGGCATCTGTCATCATAGACATAGACATAGAGATATGCATAAAAATGTGTCACTAATTTACTAACATGTAAGTAGAGTAAAATCTCAGGCTCCCCACTGTCTCAAACATAGCAGTCCCCTGCTGCTGAATTCCACAGAGTCATCTCTCAAACCTCTCTCTGATCTTTTTCAAGTGTGTTCCATGGCTCCCAGTGCCCTCTGGATCAACTCCAAGCTCTTTCATTTGACATTGGCATAAATGTCCACTCTGTTACTTGAACTCACATCCCAGAGAAGCCCACCTTGCTCAGCAGAAGCACATCAATGAAGTCTAAAGTCTTGGACTTTGCCTTGTCCTTGAAGAAGTCATCAGTACCCTGAGTGGGGAGGGTACGGCGCCGCTCCTGGATGACAGCATCTGTGAAGTCGTGCACCAGGCGGCAGGCCCTGCGGAAGCGCTGCCCATCAGGAGTCAGATAATACAGGAAGTCCGAGTGCAGGAGAATCTGCTGGTTTCTTTTTTCTACAAAGGCACTGAGTTCCAAGATGGCGGCAATATACTTACTGGGCTTCCTGTATGAAGGAGATAACAACTTAACATATGCAAAGTCCCAGGAGCACTTCTCACCAGCAGCTAGAAGCTACCGCCCATCAGGAAATTGAGCATCCAGAAACAGCCAGGAGACTTGACTCTCCAAACTCTCTTCTCTCCAGGCACCCTATCTCTGAGAGCTGCCTCCATGCACCAAGATGCTCAGAGTACAGCTTGCACACCATGCTTCTCTCCTGTCTCTCACACCCGGTATTCAGTCTGGACTCTTCATTCCAAAAACTGTTCAAAAAACTCAGACCTCACCATCTTTCAACTCTTTCTGGCTCATCCCCCACCATAACCAACTTGCATCCAATGTCAGCCCCATGTAATGTCTACATGACAGGCAGACCTCCACAGAGCTCAGCTGTGACCGTATATGTCATCAGCTCAGACTCCAAAAGATTCCTGGGAACCTCTTAATAAAGTTCATTCCGCTTTTCCTGATTTTGTGTCCTGAAATCTAGCCCTGTCTACTTCCACCACCTCATTTCTACTCTCTGTTACACATCCTTGCCTCGTCCTAGCCTTCTTGCCTATTATTCAGTTATTTCTACCTACTTGAAAGGACCATGCTTCCTCTCTCCCCTTCCCCACCCTTCAAAGCCCTGTGACACAATTCCTTCAGGAAGGCACTTCTGGTTACCCTGGTCAGTCATCCCTTTCCAACCTACTCCCTTGAGATCATGGCCCAAGTTCTCAGGCCTGAGGGAAGGACTCACTCCTGACAATTGCTATCAAAGCTGAAGACACATTTCTGCAGACTGTCCAAGGTCATGAGGCTGATGTGCTCAAACATGTCCAGTCTGGTGCTGCCCTCTGAGGCCAGGCGCTGCCACTTGTCCTGGCCAGAGGAAAAAGAAAAACAGAGCTGAAGTTGAGTACTGCCTCCTGAGAACTCCTTCCCAGACCCAGACATCAAGATGTATCTCCTGCAATCATCCTCTGGGTCTCTGCCCCAGGCACCCATCCCCAGGGAGGACCAGCCTTGGATAGCAGCGGAGACTGTTACTGTTAGGAGGTAAGCTCATGGCTGGCAGTCGAGAGACCTGGGATCAAATCCTACCTCAGCCTCCTGAGGGAAGGTGTTCTCTTTCCAGGATACACAAGGGGGCATAGTTTTAAGAGCAAGAATTTCCTAGCGCCATGCCCCCCACTCATCTCTCTCCATCTGGGAAATTTAATGGTTTATGTTTGAATTTTGCAGGCATGGGAAGAAACTAAGAGCCACTCCAGTAGAAGTTCTAAGGAACTCCTTTTATTGGCCAGGGGTCTTGGAGAATGTAGGGGTTCCTTCCAGGTTAAAAGTCCTTTTCTTCCACACCACTTCAGACTCCATGTTTGGGTCCCCTTCCACGAACACTCTCGTGGAAGCCATCTTTCTCTCGCCTGGATTTCCCCTCTGGGGTCCCCTTCCACACTCTCTCATGGAAGCCTGTCTTCCCCTCCTAAACTCCATCTCTCTCTATTCCCTTCCACTCAGTGTGGAATCTGCTTTCCTATTCTGGATTCCATCTTTCTGGAACCTCTCACTTGGCATGATAGTTAGCTGTTTCTTTCTCCCCCTGTTTCTCTATCTCTAAATAAATAAATCACTTTCTACAAATCCTTTGAGTCCTGCAATTACTGCACACTGTGCCGTGGTCCCCACTCTCATTCTTGAGAGGGCAGGAGGCCAAGAACCTGGAGAAACGTCCTCTCAGGGGAGCTGAGGGCACCACGAAACCCTGAACCCCAATATTACATTTTGGAAAGCCAGCCAGGAAAGGGGTACACCAGAAGAGGGGTACAGCCAGGAAAGGGGTAGAGCCAGAGAAGAAGACGTCAAAATCGTGAGGAAAACCAACCCCATTCTGTCCTGTCTCTTTATGAACACCTGCAGTGGTGCGGCTGGGCAGGGCATTGGACCGGAGAAGTGGTGCCTCAGAGGCATGACCCAGCCCTGAGGGGGGTGGCCAGAATTAAGAGCACAGTTTCTTTACCTTCAAGCTCTCTCTGCTTTCTGTCTCCTTCTCTATCCTTCAGATATTATCTCTGGGACCAAAGCCTGAGGGAGCCTGTGGGGCAGAGTGGGTGAGCACAGCCCTGGGGCTTTTTGCTCCTTGCTGGCCCGGAACAGCCGAGCCCCAGGGGCAGAAGCGAGTGCGCAGCCGTGGGCTGGAGAAAACAGTGGGGAGGGGCAAGGTGCACCCGGAGCCTGCAGGGGACTAGGGAGACTGGCGGCCTGGCACATGGCTCTGCAGTCTCAGGCAGCAGGGTAAAAAGGCTCCCCAGGGCGTTTGCCTGCAGGCCACAGGTCCCTTTGTGGGCAGTAGCTCGGGAAGTGGCCCAGACGTGCAAGTGGTTCTGGTGAGGTCAACATGGCGACTGAATGCCACGGGGGCGGGGGAACTCACATTGGCCCAGCAGCCTCGAACACGACTTTTAAAGTGATGTGGCAAATGGGTTTTTTCCTCTGCCGGTGTGCGGTTCTAAGGGAACAGAAGCCACTGAAGTGGCTGCTGGCTGTCAGCCCTGCCTGACTTTTAGGCAGGCCACACCACCTCAAGGTGCAGTGTGCAGCTTAAGAAACCTTTCTGCCTTCCCTTATGCAGGTGGCCGATTGCACAGCTGGTTAAGGGGTAGGAGCTGCAAGGTTGCTGGTTCAAATCGCCGGTGGGGTCGGTCTTGAATTGTTGAGATCTTTTGGGGAAATGCAGAAGCTGAAGGCTCTGGGACTTTGTGTTTGGTGTATAATTTGTCTTGCTTAGGATTGGCTCTCTCTCTGGCAGAACGTTTCCACCTGGAAGATCATAGTCAAACCAGTTCCAGGACCAAATAGTCAATGGCAGCTCTCACAATCTTAAGAGCATTTTCTTACAATGGAAAATGGGTTAGGGGAGAGGAGGCCCCCGTCCTGAGGGTATTGTTCCGGCCTCAGCCATGCCCCGCCTGCCTTCCTTGAGCTGTGTGCTCTAACGGCCCCTCCCTAGAAGTTCACTTCACCCTTCTGGGGCAGTTTTATAATCTGTCTTGCGCAAATTGGACTTTTCCTGGGAAATATTGGTACCTATATCCTGAGCCTCACTGGCCTCGTTGGGGCTCCTTGGTATGTGACTACCCAGCCCAACAGCTCCTCTCGTTCCATGACTCTATGGTATTCACTGGAGGTCATGCAGTGAGTGGTCCCACGACGCTGGCAGGTCGTGATTGGAATCCAGTACATGGGAGCCCCTCTGATAAGATGGATCATGCATTTTGGACACACAAAATTTCGGGGTACTGACTGAAAGACGTTTCACGTCTACCCATTTTACCCAGGGGACACCTCAGGTCAAAGTGGCTGTAATTTCTTTAACCGGGGATGTGGGCATCCCTTGTGTTCAATTTCAGATGGGTGCTTCTCTTCCCAAGCTCAAGTCTCCATTAAAATGTATACTGGAAAACTGGGACCAATTTAGCACATGGTCCTTAAAGAAGAAGTGGCTTATTTTTCTCTGCCTAACAGAGTGGCCAAATTACCCTCTGCTGAATGGAAAATCTAACCAAGGGAAGAAAACCCAACAGTTTTCCTTGAGTGATTGCGGGAGGCTTAAGGAAGTACACCCCCATCACCAGACTCTATAGAGGCTCAGTTAATACTAAAGGACAAGGTTATTACTTAGTCAGCAGCAAATATCAGGAGGAAGCTCCAGTAGCTGGCGTTGGGACCAGAGCAGAGCCTAGAATCATTACTGAACCAGGAAACCTCAGTGTTTTATAATAGAGACCAGAAGGAACAGGCTGAAAGAAATCTGAGAGATCAGCCTTAGTCATGGCTTTCAGGCAAGCAGACCCTAGGGGCTCAAATGAGGGAAAGACTTGGGTTAGCCACTAGTCTGGCAGAACTTATTACCAGTGCAGCCTGACGGGACATTTTGTAAGAAATTGTCCCCAGAGGAATGGACCACCATCTCATCCATGCCTGCTGTGCCAAGGGAATCACTGGAAAACACAGTGTCCCAGGGGACGATGGTTCTCAGGGCCTGAGGTGTCTGACCAGATGACCCAGGGGCAGGACAGAGGGTTCCTGGAGCAAGTACCAGCACAAGTTGTCACCCTCACAGAGCCCCAGGTAAAGCTGACCATAGAGGTCCAAGAAGTCAGTCTTTTCCTCGACACTGCATGGCCTTCTCGGTATTTCTCTCCTGCCCTGGAGACTTGGTGCTTGTTCATTTTCTCCCCTCAGATCCTCCCTCTCTAGGCTGATCCTGGGAAGGCCATTTCAGTCATTCTGTCCACTCCAGCGGCAGTTAAGGTAGTGGAAATAGACTGATGGATTCATCACACTGTGCTGAAGCCTTGGATATCCCCTGAAGAAAGTCACAGACCCTGCATTCCACAGCATGAAGTTCTAGGAGACAACCCTTCATATCCCTGTGAGCCATTAGAAAAATCTACACCTGCTTTTCCAGATCCTTAGGTAAGTAACCACTCATGTCTAAGTTATATCCTGGCATTAATAGGACGATAACCCTCAACTTTGCTATCTCTCGAACTACGAGTATCCTTTTCATAGTGGAAAGGAAACTTGCCTCTTTCTAGGAAAAATGCTGCTATTTTGTAAACCAAACCATAAGATCACAAATAATCCTGCCACTGGGACCCTGGATGTCCTTGGCTCGTGAGCTCTATTGTGGATCTCTAGATCAACCTGCACTCCTGAAAGGCTCCCCTCTAGAGGAAACCTCAACTGCGGGGTCCTTCTATGCCCCATTTCAGCAGGAAGTAAAGAGGACCGATGCCCTTGTTCCAGTGGAAGTTGGGCTTTCCTGTTCAGAAGGAGGGAATGAGGGAAGGTGTTCTCTCTCCAGGGTCCACAAGGGGGCGCAGTTTTAAGAGCAAGAATTTCCCAGCGCCATGCCCTCCTCGCATCTCTCCATCTGGGAGATTCAACACTTATGTTTGAATTTCGTGGACACGGGAAGAAACTAAGAGTCGATCACTCCAGCAGAAGTTCTAAGGAACTCCTTTCATTGGCCAGAGGTCTTGGAGAAGGTGAGGGTTCCTCTCAGGTTAAAAGTCGCCTTCTTTCACACCCCTTCGGACTCTGTGTTTGGGTCCCCTTCCATTAGTACTCTCCTGGAAGCCATCTTTCTCTTTCCTGGATTTCCCCTCTGGGGTCCCCTTCCACACTCACTCTTGGAAGCCTGTTTTCTCCTCCTAAACTCCATCTCTCTCTATTCCTTTCCACTCAGTGTGGAAGCTGCTTTCCTTTCCTGGATTCCATCTTCCTGGATTCTCTTACTCAGCATGAGAGTTAGCTGTTTCTTTCTCTCTCCTCCTGTTTCTCTCTCTCTAAATAAATAAATCACTTTCTACAAACACTTTTCAGTCTGGCATTTACTGTGCACTGTGCCGTGGTCCCCTCTCTCATTCTTGAGAGACCAGGAGGCCAAGAACCTGGAGAAACATCCTCTCAGGAGAGCTGAGGGCACCCTGAACCCCAATATTGCACTCCTGTGGTCTTTGTGCTCTTTGTCAATCTCCTGCACTCCTGTAGGTTCCATCTATCAAATCTTCAGTAACAGTTAGGACAGCCTGCTCTGGGGACAGATAAACCAAGGTACAATCACTGCTACACCTCTTCTAGCTCACTTACTATCTGGTTGAAATTTGGTGAGGTCCCTAATCTCTCTGGCCCTCAGTTTCATCATCTGCAATAGGGCAAAATCAACCATAACCTCACAGAGTTATTAAAATTAAATTAGAAAACATATATTATGGAGTTGGCAAATGGCCCTGTTTCTGGCGTATGGTGAGTGCTCAGTAAATGTTGGTTTCACTCATCTCCTTTGCTATAAATTCATTTCAAATGTATCCCTGTTGTGGGAGGGGAACATTACACACTAGGGCCTGTCAGGGGTGGGGGACAAGGGGAGGGAGAGGAAGAGAACAAGTACCTAATGCATGAGGGGCTTAAAACCTGGATGACCAGTTGGTGGGTGAAGCAAAGCAGCATGGCGCATGTATACATATGTAACAGACGTGCATGTTCTACACATGTATCCCAGAACTTAATATATATATACACTTTTATAAAATATATTTATATATTTAAAATAAAACATTTTAAAATATATTTTATACCTTACATATACACTTTATACTTTATACATATGAAGTATACATATATCTCCCTGTTGTGAGAGGTACTCCTCCATCAGACCTGAGCATCTGGCTGGATATGCCAAGAATTCAAGAACCTGCTGTTCTTACTTGGGCTGTTTCTCAGAGTTGTGTTTACAGACAACATTGAGAGATAAGACAATGAATATCCTGCCTGCTTCTGCTTGCTATAAAAGCAGTTCCCTGAGCCTAGTGATCTTTTCCTCCCATGCAAGGTACTGCATGAGCAGGCAACTATTGAAACCTCTCTGTGGCACCCTGTAGATTTCGATGGAGAAATGATGCAAACCAAGAACATGCTGCTTGCTATGCCGTGAGTAATAAATCACCCTTTGTCTCTGACCCAGGACTCTCGTGTCTCCTGGCAGAATCCAGGAAGTATTAACAAAGCTAGCTCCTCAGCTTGCAAGTAAGAAAAACATCCTAAGCACTTCACAAAATCCCAACTCCCAATTCTTCACTTCTCCCTGTATTCACACACTTTACACTGTGATTTTCCAGCAACTTCTATTAAGAGATGGGGCCTGTTTTACGCCCCTTTGAGTCTGTGCTGATGTCAGCCTGGTTGAACTTGGAAACATGGCAGGGAGAATGTCCAGAGCCATTGCAGTCTCCTCTCAGTCTCTCAGAACTAAGTCTATGCCATGTGAGCAGCAGGGTGCCTCCCGGAGACAGAGAAACACATGGAGAAAAGTCCAGGTGTCACAGCTGAGGCCATCCTAGATCAACCTGAAGCTGTTGAAGCCCCAAACAAGTGAATAAGCTGAGCCAGGATCAGCAAAGCTGCCCGCCTGACCCGCAGCTGCTCATGTACCAAGAGTGATCCCATCCCCATGCAGAAGAACCAGCCAGCTGTCTCGCAGACTTGCTAGGTTTCATAAACCCTTATTGCTCTAAACCAATGGGTTTTGAGGTGGTTTGTACTCAGCAATTGCTACCATGCAATCTTCATTTTTACTCTCTTGAGTTTGAAGGGTTTCTGTGAGAGAAACATGGAAACTCACACCTTCTGAGACCTACTATATGCCAGGGACATGACTCCATTACATGATCTTACCACCTTTAAGTAGAGATTATTATTCTTATTTTACAGATGGGGAAGCCAAGCCCCAGAGAGGAAGAGCATTGGCCCCAAAGCACAACCAAAATTGCAGACCAGATACGCCTGTGGTCCCTCTGCCCTGAGGCTCCAGCTGGACCCAGAGTTGAAGGGACTCACGTGCATGATGCTCACGCTCTTGTTGAAAATCGCCACATAGGGCTTGAGGATGTTGAAGTGGAAGGCGGGCGTCAGCATGCGGCGGTGGCGGCTCCACTTGTCACCAGCACTCAGCAGGAGACCGTCCCCTAGCAGGGCAACCAAGGTTAGTGGTCAAGGGCAGCACCCTCCCCTATCCCTAAAGGATATCCCTGGTCCCATTCACCTGCAATTACTCACCTAGCCAGGGCTTCAGGAAGCCATAGAAAAGCATATCCTTGGGTGCAACAGCAGCTGACATGATTGAGGACCATCAGGGGCCATGGAGAGGGATGAGAGAAGGACTCTGAGCATGGAGGAATGTTCCAAGCCATGGGTGTGAACTTTCACTCTCTCCATCCAGCACAGCAGGAAGAAGGCCAAGGGCAGAGATGGAAGGGAGGATAGTGGAGGGAAGGAGAAACCAGAGCAGGCTGCAGTAGCAGAGTAGAGCAATAACCCAGCATGCCCCAGCACACCACGACAGGACTTCTGCATGCTCCAGCGTGTTCTCCAACACCTGAGCATAGCTCAGTGCTCTACTGAATGGCTTTACCGGGACCCAGGACACCCTGTCTGTCCCCAGCACGCTCTGCTCTCTTCTGACATGGATCTGGGACCTGGGATGTTGCCCTGATATTTGTTAACATTCCCTGATGTGGCCAAAACACATGAGACAAACCCTAGAAGACACAACATGCTCTGCCATGGACCCGAGATGACCTGATATGACCTCTGTGTACCCAGTGACAGGTCCCAGATGACATTTAAATATGATGACATTAATACCCTAAACATCGCCCAGGTGTAACCAAGACCAATCTTCAGGTATAATTCACATCTATCCTAAGACCTAACTCTATTAAGACGCAAATAATATCTCAGACAGTTCTCAAACAGACCCTGGGTCCAACACCCTGGACAAGCCCCAAACGTGGCCAAGACATGGGAAGCGGGATAGAAAGACAGTGTCACAATACATCTCAGACAAGAACCAACAAGGCTCTGACAGGCCCCAAATGTCCTCAGCCACAGCTAAGGCCCACACATGCTGACTTCTCCGTATGATCCCAGGTGGAAGCATATACCAGATACAATCAAGTATAATGTAGAAAGCATAGGCCCTGGAACCCTTGGGGTAAAGGTAGGCTTTCTAATTGGAACTGGGCTTCTGAGACTCATTGTTGACACCATAGGAAAAGGCAAAGTGACATAGAGAGTGGTAAAACTGAGAGAAAGAGACAAATTCCCAGTGATGTGGATTAATGGACACCTGGATCCAACTATGCTTGAAGACCACTCTACATGGACTTTAGAGCCCATTGATTGTCTTCATTTGCTTAGACCACATGGGTTTTCCATCACTCACAACTGAAAGAGACTTCAGTATCCAGAGAGTGCTGAGGACCTGCCCAGAGTCACTCAGCATTTTGAGGTTACAGCCATAGTTTCTGTGGGATGCTGCCCCTGCCCCTGCTTAGCCTGGCCTGTCCAGGGACAAGATGAGCAGAGGGAAAGAAAGGGCCTCAGACTGGGGTGGGATCTCCAGTTGGAGGTTCCTGGGGCCTGGAGCAGGAGAGGAATGAACAGGGTGGATGAGTGACAGATGAGATAGAAGGAATAAACTCACCAGAGGTGGACATCACATAAACAGTAGCCCAGATTCTCCACCAGCCTGAAATCCCCCTCGTGCTGTAGGCTTAGGGACAGAAGAGGTTGGTGCCAGGCCGCACAGGGGGGCCTGGATACTAATCATCACACCTTCCTTTTGCTTTAAAACCTTTTACTCATTTTTCCAGCAACTCCTCCTCCAGGAAGCCTTCTAGCCTGCCCCAGCAAAGACCTTGCTCTCCGGGTTGCCACACCCATCTCTCGACTCCTGACTCCATGAAGTTTGAGATGTCTCTGTCCAGATCCATTTCCTCAAGCATGGGGTTTCCTTGAGGATGGGGCCCTAAACTGAGGCTTCTTGGGGCCCCAGTGGTGCCCAGAACACAAAGGCAGGGACAGATGGCAGTGGAGGGAGGAGACACTGAGATGGGGATTGGTGAATACATGAAGGAAAGAGGAGAATGGCTGAGAGAGAAGCAGGAAGAGGGCTGTGGGTCCCGCAGGGGCCGCACCGAAGCTTGGAGGGGGAGAGGCTAGAAGGTCTCCGATGTTTCCCAGCACCCACCACAAGCTCTGCATGGGTACCTGAGGCACTGGTGATAGACCGGACGGTATCAGGGTGGCATAAAATGAGGAGGGGGAAGGTAGGACCCAGCCACAACTTAAAGCTCTGGGGATAGGTGGCCACCAGCTGGATGAACTTCTTCACGCCCTCTTCTGTGGGAGTGGCCTGAAAGCAAGGCAGAGGCCGTCAGCCCTTGCGATGGTTAATTCTAGGTGTCCTGAATTAACCATGAATTCCACGTGACCGAGCTAAGGGATGCCCAGATAAAACATGCTGGCCAAACGTTATTTCTGGATGGGTCCGTCAGTGTATTTCCAGAAGAGATTAGCATTTGAATAGGTAAACTGAGGAAGGAAGATCCTCCTCCCCAAGGGGGTGGGGTCCTCCAATCCTTCGATGGTGCAGATCCAACAAAGAGGCAGAAGAAGGTGAATTTGTGCCCTTTTCCAGGGCCGGCTCATCCGTCTGCTCCAACCTTGGACATTAGAACTCCAGGTCTAGGCCTTTTTGGACTCAGGCTGAATTTACACCACCAGAGTCCCTGGTTTCTGGCTTGCAGATGGTATATCATGGGAATTCTTACCCTCTATCATCACATTTTCCAACTCCCATAATAAACTCTCTCTCTCTCATATGTATATATGCTTGAAAGGTAACAGAGAAGATATCTTGTCGATTCGGTTTCTAGGGAGAACCTCACCTAATGCATCTCCCCAGAGGAGTTCCCCCGCAGCCTCCAGATGTGGTGCAGCCCCTGCCCTGAGCAGCACACCTGGATTCGGAACAGCTGTGGGGAATCTCGGCTCACCCCTGCTCCTCTCTTGGGGCTCTCTCCAAGATACAAAGATAATGGCCAGGCATGGTGGCTCACACCTTAATCCCAACACTTTTGGAGGCTACGGTGGGTGGATCACTTGAACTCAGGGGTTTGAGACCAGCTTGGCCAACACAGTGAAACCCCGTCTCTACTGAAAATACAAAAACTAGCTGGGTGTGGTGGGGCATGCCTGTAATCCCAGCTTCCCAGTAGATACTCAGAAGGCTGA